TCCCCAGCGTGCAGGGAGCAGGCTCTGCCCTGAGGGTCCCTCAGTAGTAGCAGGACCCTGGTCACCGTAGTGAGCAGGACAGCCCTGTGCCCTAACTCACACCAGGATTAGGGTGGAGGAAGGAGAGGGGGATTTGCACAGATGTAGTCACACAGGGGAAAGCCACCTGGCAGTGGAGGCACAGCTTAGAATGAAGCAGCCACAAGCCACGGCACACCAAAGGTTGCCAGCAGCTGTGAAAAGCGAGGAGACAAGCATGAAAGGATCCCTCAGAGCCTGCCAAGGAAGCACAGTGCTGTCACCTTCACTTCAGACTTCTAGTCTCCAGAATATTCTGTCAAGTCTGTGCCGCATCTAAGCCCAGGGGAATACAGAGTCTTGGGGATTCTGAGCAGTCTCCCGCCCAGGTAAAAAGACGAAGGGGCTGGGGTAGCTCAGTGGTAGAAGGCTTGCCTAATGTGCATTGGGCCCTGGGTTCCATCTGCAGCACCACACACACACATTTGGGCGTGCAGCTGTCTGGTGGTCTAGCAGGGTGGGGCTTCTCAGGCTGGGCTCCATCCCTGTGAGGAGCCTCTCATCTCCTTACTCTCTGAGCCTCTCCTTCAGGCACCTATTGGGGAACAATGGGCAGCCCCAATGGCTTGCTCTGAAATGTCCCTTCTCGTGTGCCATGGCCCTCAAATGGCCACAGGGACATCCTAGAGGAGACCCTCTTCATGCATGACTTCTTCCTGACATCTTAGAATGACGGTGGCCATCAGGGACTATTCCCAGACTATATTCCTCAGGTCATTCTGGCCTACCAAGGCCCAGACTTGGGTCTAGGAGACCCCAACACTGATCCTCCACCTCTGGAGAATGTGGCTGTAATTTTCTGAAGCCCTGTGGGTCCAGCAGCCCAGACCCAGGTGTCCTATCCAAGCTAGTAATAGCTGGGCAGGGGTGGGACTTCCTCCATGAATGGCCGTAGAAAAGAAAGAGGATGGGCTTCTGTGACTGGGCTGTGGGGGAACTCAAGGCAACCTCCAGGTGATGAGAGATGCGATAGAATCTGTGGTCCAGGTACTGTACCAGTGTGGTTGATGCTCCTGGATGAAAGTTTTTGGCCCGGGCTTTGAGGGCCCAGCCATGGCCACAACAGTGAACATGGGCTCCAGAGCCTGGGACAGGGGAGGAAGTGACCCACGGAGGGGAATAGGGAGGGGCAGGGAGGGGAGCAAGCAAGCGAAAGGTGGCGAAAGGTTTCAAAACCTACTTCCTCTCTCCTGCCCTTGGTGGAGTGGCTTGGCAAACAAGACATCCTGGAAATAGAGAGAAGGGGCCTGTGGGCCTCAGGAGTGACTGTCGTCTCCATTTCCCCCGGGTAGTCAGGGTCAACTACTCCAGCCGAAATGATACCTCCTTCTCATGGACTATCAATGGGAAATAGTGTTGCTTCCACAAAATGGAGGGTGAAGCTTATGACCAGCATCCAGGGAGCTTCTAGGCTGTTCCACTTGTCTGCAGCGATCCTGGTGAGATCAAGTAAAAGCTGCCACCAAGACCAGTGAAAGGTTCAGGGTGCCAGGAACAAAGGCAGCCCAGCCAAACAGGTGCTGGTAGAAGACAGAAAATGGAGACCAGCAGAGAGACACCATCCTGTGATCTGTTGTGGAAACAAGGACGGTGGCCTGCATGTTCCCTTCCCGCCTGTGTCACACTGAATTTCACCCAATTTCTACTTTCTTTCACCCACTATAATTTAGGGCAGCAGTTCTCAAATCTTGACCCCTGTACACTCTTAGAATCTGATTAAGGACCCCAAAGAGCTTTTCTAATAGCAGTATTCACCATGGTAGAAATAAAAGTGATAACTTTGAAAATCTTACTTTAAACAATAAAATCATTATAAACTTTTTCAAAGTTGAGAGCCACCAGGGGTGGTAGTATACACCTGTACTCTCAGCTACTTAGGAGACTAGGGCAGAAGGACTGAAAAGTTCAGGACTACCCGGGGCAACTTAGCAATACCCTGTCAGTAAATGAATGGGCAAATGAAGAAATACACAAATGAGGGCTGGGGATTTAGCTCAGTGGTCCGACTGCCTGCCTTGCAGGCGCAAGGACCTTTCAATCCCCAGTACCAAAAAAGAGAGAGAGCTACACAACTAGGCTGGGGTGTAGTTCATAACGAAGGCCCTGGATACAATCTGAAGCAGTGGGGCGGGGGAGGAGGAAGGAGAAAGAGGATGGAGAAGGTGAAGGAAAAGGGGAAGGAGGCAGGGGGAGGAAGAGGAGACGACCATTTTCTAAAGCCAAAATTAGCAGAGGGGTGGCACTGCTTTTGCATTTTGCAAAGCTTTAGGGCCCAGCCTCACAGGAGTCAGCTGTTTTCTCGGGCCTGCTTCTGCATTTACTCTCTCGCAGGCTCTATCTCGGCTGAAGGACATTAACCTCCCCCAGGTACGTATGTGGGCAAAGAAGAACCTGACAGAGCCCAGGTGTGTGGGCTCTGCTTTAGAAGGCATGTTGTGGCAGCTGCCTGTACCCCACACGGAGAACTGTGACAAAGCCAGAGGAGATACCCCAGACACAACTGATGAAGCAGCCTCGGGAAGAAACAAGCCACTGCTCTGCCGGGAGACAGCTACAGCGTGTTAGGTGGAGGCCTTATTTTTGAAGATTCAGTTTGGGAAGGATACGTGCCATTTAGCTGAAGAGTGGGCTGCAGGGTACTTCTGTTGCTATCTTGGATAACCCAGCTCTGAACGTCTTCCTTTTTAGGCAAATCCTCTGCAGAGTTGTGGCAGACCGCCGCCTCCGCTGCAGGTAGCAGAGCCAGATGGCCTCTTCTCAGGTTCTGGAGGCTACAGGACACATACACACCCAAGGCTCAGCCGATCCATCACATCCTCCTCCCAGGACCTTCATCTTGTCTAACAGCAGATGGTTGAGGAATTACTTGTGGCATCTGGGGACACTGGAGGTCCCTTTTGGTGGCAGTGTCATAGGACCAATGGCAGTGGCACCAAGCTGCAGTCCTCACCAAATGTTCGTTCCGGCAGCACAACTCCCCAGGATCTCTGTGTAGCTGCCGAGCCTGTTCCAGCCTCCTGGCTCACCTGGGCCTGACAGCTTCCTTTCCTAGTCTGAACCTGCCGAGGGCTGGCACACTCAGGCCTGTCTCCGTTCTGCTGCTTCCTATTGTGTGTCCCTACCAGGCTGGACTCGGGCACTCAGCCTTCAACTCCCAGTTTATCTGGCACAACCCTGAGCAAAGCCTGGGGCTATAGCACATTCCCAACACTGTCCTGCAGCCAGCTGCTGGGCCGCACTGCTTTTTACTGAGAGCTCTAAACTCAGGGACTTCCCATGTCACCTCACTCTCCTGATGGATACCTTCTGGTGGCAACAACCTGTAAAAACCAGGGAAGAAAATCACCTATGGCCTGCTCTCCAAAACAATGACCTTGTAACATTTTAAATTCATGGGCCAACAGCACCCTGTGTAGATCATCATTGCTTCTAGGGCATGGACTGCTTCAGAGAGATCACTGGCTCGGCCTTGAATGTAAGTAGACTAGACGTCTGTCACATGTGGGCAGGGACCCTGCTGGCAGGCTTTGGCTTGGTCTCCTTGTGTTTCTGCCATTATAGAGAGAAAGGGCCCAGGGAGTGGTGCTCCTTCGGCCAGGCACCCAGAATACTGTCATGCTGTGGAGCCTACCTGAATCAGGCCCCAGCCTGGGGTATGATCCTTACAGTCAACCTGTAAACAGTGAGAATTTGTACTTGCAGGCCAGTGAGATTTTTGAGGTGCAGCAGCAAAAGCTGGTGGTTACATCATTCTGTGGGAAAAACTAGTGACAGAATTGATGAATGTTAAACACTGCAGTCTCTCTTGAATGGCAATTACTAAACCTGCAGGCGCAGCTGGGGTTGTATCAACTTCACAGATCAAACAACTGTTTCATAACTGTCACTCATGCTGCTTTAACCTAACAGTCTCCAGGCGAGCAACAGGCCTGACAGGGGCAGCCTATGTGAGTAGGAGGATTGTTAGCACACTTTTCACCTCTGCCCTCTGACACAAGACACCAAGGAGAGGTAAGACAGGCTGGTGTGCCCCTATCCTGACACTGCAGCCAAGAGGGGCTGGTGATGGCCCTGTAGCCCCCAAACGGGCTTTGCACTTCCTCCAGCAACATCTGTTTCTCCAGCCCGACATCTTCTCAATGCTTTCCAATACTTCGGGAGTAGTGGGGTAGGTGGGGCACTAGACTCCTGAGAACCAAGTTGACCTGAAGTTCCAGGTGGACACCCTGAGGCCAGCTGCACCTGTCCATGCATTTCCCATGGGCATCTCTCAGCTTGTCCTCTCCGCAGGCAGGCCGCAGTGAGCACCTCCTTCTCACTGTAGAGGTGTGCTCACTTCCCACGGTGTACGCCACAGGCAGGTCTAAACTGCTCCCCACTGTACCCACACCGCCTAGCTGAGCAGGTCTTCAGTAAACGCATTGAGAAAGTCAGTGAATGGGCAACTCTTGTTTATGGACTGGCACATCCACTGCTGCTCAGGGCTGCTTTCTACATTCTGCTGCTTGTGCAGACCCAGTGTGTGTGTATGGGGCCTCAGCCTCAGCCAGGTACTATAAGCTGAGGCATCCTTAGGCCTGCAGGCACTCAGAGCCCTGGGGCTGGCTTTCGTTGTTGCTAGTGTTTGTTACCAGCACATATACCAAGTATATTACTTTAGCATGTTTTAAATGGGACAAAAAATAGTGAATTTGGGTCTAACAAATGGAACAGATATGTCTCATGGTTGGGGCAAAGGGTTGTAGTCATGTAGTTACTGCACGGAACACACTTTAGGTTTTTTTTTTTTGCAGAGGGATCAAACTCAGGGCCCTGAGCTTGCCAGGCAGGTGTGGCGCCTCTAAGGTACATCCCGAGCCCTTCTTAGGTAATTTTAAATAAGTTATCAATACAAGTGGATTCCCAACAGTCTTCTCCCAGAAGCACTCCTTTACACTTTAACCTCCTTCTGAAAGTTTATTTGTTCTAGTCAGAGTATTACTCTTGCAGAATCTGGCTTTTTTATGTCTAGTTCCTTGGTATCCATCCCACCAGCACCTAAAGACACATCATACTTACCTAAAAAGTAACCCAAACTATTGCTTCTCTGTTGCTGACAGAACCAAAAGTTTGGACCTTAAAATAAGATACCTTGTTAGCTACTTTTGGTTAAGGTCACTCTGTCCAGCTTTCCAATGACAAGTAATGCTTTAATTTATGACAGGTATTCTAAGACTCTTTTAGAAATGGACAAGCCACTTGTTGCTTAATTTAGCTGTTCCTCAAGAGATGCTACCTACCACCTGGTTCCATGCTGGAGTACATCACCTGCCCCCAAAAGGTGGTGGCTCCTCTCTCTACTAACAGGTCCTGAGACAGGCTGCAGAACTGTGAAGACCTCTATCTAACATCTGAATATTCAGATCCATGGGATTTCCAACACCTAATTTCTGCCTACTACTTAAATTAGACCCCACAAGAGGTAAGTATTAACATTTTGTGCACTCTGAGGATACCTGCAATAAACACGTATCTTCACATACAGACAAAATAGTTTAACATAATACACCGTACTGCAGATGGAATTCAACATTACACTGCTAAAATATTCATATAAATATATGCAGATTCACTCCATTAGAAAAATTCATCTATTAGAATATTAAAGACAGTTAATGCCCAAAGCAATGCCCAATGAAAAACATTTTTAATTCTTTTTTTTTTGGTACCAGGGCTCGAATTCGGGACCTTGTGCTTGCAAGGCAGGCGGTAGCAACCACTGAGCTAAATCCCCAGCCCAAGAAAAACTATTTTAACAGCAGGAACACTAGAAATAACGATGAAGCTTCTAAACCAGTGACAGGAAAGAGATTCTGTACATTTGCTAATATGTCACAACAGGAACAATCTGAAATACAATTTTAGACTAGCAGGGTATAAAAATACTTTTTTAAACAATACTTTTAATAGATATAGTAAACCTTAAAAAAAAAAAAAACAGCTGTGTAGTTACTCCTTTTGAGGACCTACAACAATTCCACTTACTGTCCCTGGCTCTTACACACCAATTTGGGAAGCAAGTTCTCTCATACATATACACATCACACACACACACACACACACACACAAACACACACTCACACTCACACTCACACAAAACCACAGACTAAAATAACCTCTACTAGCTACAGTACACAACACTAAGTCACTAATTGGTATCCATCTCAAGGTGTGAAATGGTGTTTGGAGCCTGCTTGTGGTTCCAGATCTGGGATGGATAAAGTGGCAAAAGCAAGGTGGAGTCGGTGTGCATACATGGTTTTCACCGCACTGAAGGGCAGCTCAGTCTGGCATATCAATGTTTAACTTGGGAGGTGGGGGAACATATTTCCCAGGGCTCTGCGTTATAACTACCCTGGCCTTCTTTCCAAACATTGGAGGGATTTTTGGAGCTTCTGGGCCAGATGTTTCCTCAGCATCTTCACTGTCTTCATGATGGAGATCATAGGAAATGTTTCCATATTCTCGTAAAAATGGGAAAATTTCAAGCAGAAACTGACAGAAATCTCTGCGAATGCCAAACCACCAATGATTGCCTCCTTTTCGTCTAAATGTGGTGGCCATCAAGGTTACTAATGACAGCCAAAGGGGAACAAATATGGAAATGTAAGAGAATGTATTGTGGCCATCCAATCTGTGAACCAGGAGGACCTCAAAAGTGAGCAGGGGCACCACAATCGTTATCCAGCTGATGGCCATGGTCACGTGTGTTCTTCGCTGTTCTGCTACCACATCCAGGGACCTCAGAAACAGGAGGGACCAGACGATGTAATAGAGGACAACCAGGCAAAGGAAGGACATGAGGATCCACAGCGGCACGAACACCACCAGCCACGGCCAGTGGATAATCCTGTCCAGCCTCAGGGCGATGAAGATGAACTGCAGGATGTTAACGGAGCACAGGATCTCCAGCTCTAGCGACCTGTCGTGTCGAAAGCCCCAGACACAAGCGGCTACAGACACGGGGGAAACGAAGAACAGTGGCATAAAGACCAGCAGCCAGAAGTGGCTGCCCCTCTCCACCCGGTCACAGACCAGGACTTCGAACATGAGCAGCAGCAGGTGGATGCCCACGGCAATGAGCATGGCTTTGAACTCCACGCCGGCCTCTCCTTCAGTGCGGTAGCGAGGGTTTCGAGCCCAAACGCCCGCACCCACCGAGGCACCCGCGATGACCAAGAGTTTCCACAGCCATATGGGGGCGAACACGGCCCAGTAGCTCCACTGGATGACGCTGTCCAGGCGGAGGGGCAGCAACACCGAGAAGACCAGAAGGCAGGCGTAGATGAGGAACTTACTTGGGTTGAAGTCCTGGAACAGGCCCCTGGGGTTCATGGCGGAGCCCGCTGCTCACGCCACTCGGCGCCCACGTCGCCCCCGCCTCGGCGCAG